TTCTCAACAGATCAAAAATAGAAACCAATATGTTGAGATATATAGTCTCACATTGGTTGTATGAACAACTAATGTGGTCTTTATAAGGCCTTGAGCACTCCTACCCCTTGAACTAGCTTTTGGGGTGGTGTATCCCAAAGTTCTTTACACAATATTCACATAAACCACGAAAATCAATTCTTCAAAACCGGATACCAACCGTTCAATTGAATCAAGATGGTGAAAAAAAAACAAACTGAAATTAACCACTAAACCATTATATAATGAGTGAGGATATTCTTATTACTAGAAAAATTTACTATCAACCCACTATCTCCATAATCACCATTGGATCAACATATTTTTTTTTTTTCAAAATTTTTTTAGCATTCTCTCTCTTTGATCCAATGGTAATTGTGGAGGTAGTGAGTTAGTAGTGGATATTTTTGGTAGTAAGAATATCTCCCATCTTATATAATTGCAACATAAATGGCAACTAAAACAATTCACAAATTTGGTTACAATAAGATGGTAAATAAAAAAAAAAATCAGATACCCAGATCATCAAATTCAATAAAAAGGAAAACTTAAACTTCAATTCCCTTTGCCATATAGAAAAGCGTGTCAGAAAGGAACACCATTACCAAATTCATAATATAATAGGTGAATAAATGCAAAATCAAAACACAGCGCCAAATTAATAGGGTGAAATGATATGAACTAAAGGTGCTGATATTGGACGAAAAAAAATAAGTATTAAAACCTGATTTTGGATCCAGAAAAATACGCACAAAATATATATACATGACTTCGAAGGAAACAATACAATTCTCCTAGGTCCATGAAAAATAAAAACTCAAATTCTTCTTTAGTATTCCTCGAAGAGGGATTTTGACATGTAAAATAAAAGTACTAAAGTTCTTAATTCAATCGAAAACCAAAAGAAAAAATTTCACAAATAAATGCATAAAGTTTCGACCTTTATGAAAAAAAATCAATTTCTTTGATTCCATTAAACAATATGGATTTTATAATCATATACACATGGTTTTGATACCAAATGTAAGAATTATTTTAACCCTAAATCATGTATATGATTATAAAATACCAACAATAAGAAATTTAAATTGCGATTGTGCGTAGCTTGTTGGACTATCATAAAGTCGCAGGAAAGAAGGAACAACAAGAAAGAAGAGACAATATGCTAGGATATTTCTCTTTATGACCTATTCTGAAAGTGACAACCTCAGCGATGGGAACATTCCAGCTTATAGAGTTTAACCCCAATATAAATAGGTTAGAGAAAGGACCTAGCCAAATACCCTAAAAAGAGTTTGTGTCCATTGGGTCCATCCATCACGGAAAATCAGGGTCACACTGTTGCCCAACTAGGCTCAATACCAACAGATGCCAAAAGCCTAAGTCTACATGATCACAACAGACTTATCACAGTAATACAATTGGAATAGTCATTAACCCGAATAATTTTAAAACATAAAACTAATTAATTAATATTGCCCACATAAAGAAAAATTTCTAACAACAACCACATTGAAATTTTATGATATTTCGAAGAAAATTTTTTTTTTTATTATTTATTTCTTCTTCTATCAATTATAAGCAAAGTGTTTAATATTTTGGCTTTAATTTGGTAATTTGCATCTTTTGCAACTTGTTTCTGATTTGTAAAATTAATGCCGTGTTAGTGTCCAAGATTAAAGTGTGTTTAACATTTATTTTTAAAACTTTTATCTCATGTTGGTTCCAAGTTTTAATCGTAAAGTTATAAATCTAATGGATATATATAACCTCTTGTCCTCTTTAAAGTTTTTGCGCTCACTTTTATTGTTTTATTGTACATGAAGACTATTTCCTGTAAGGAAAGATGAGCGAGAGAAATAAATGATTACGCTGAAAAGTTTTTTGTTTTTATGGAAAATTCTCTATAAGTAGAGGTACGAATGAGCTGAGCTTTAATTTTGAAAAGTTAACTTTGAGTTTAAATATGTAAGACTGGACTAGCCTCTAACCTGTTATGAATATAATTATCGGAATGTGGCCTGAATTATTTATAAAAATAAAAGTTTGGTTTAGCTTGTTAAAAATAATAAGACAAATTTTTTTATCCAAACAGAATATACGATTACCAGTACTGATAATTTCACAAAGATTTATAAATTCAATGTACATTCAAATAGCATAATATAGAACAAAATCATTCGGAAAGTCTGTTTAATCAATAAACTAAAGTAGTATAAAATTCTACATATCCAAAAGAACAAAAAATTACAAATTCTGCATAAATAATTTAATATACTCATATCAACAATTTAATATATTGAAATGTTGTCTCCTCCTACATAAAAAAAAAAAATAAGTTAAATTATTTTTGACATTGGATTATAATATCATAAGATATAAAAAGAGTTAGTAGGTCAGTCTGACGGACTTTAAAGTCGGACTTTTAAATTGGAATCTGAAACATTTGTATTAAATATGCTTTTATATAAGTCTAAATCTAGATTCAACAACCAAAATACACAAACCTGGCTAAACCTACACAAACCGAGTCAAAGGTCATGAAAGACCCCCTGCCTCTTTTAACTCGCCTATCTTCAAGTAATATACGTGATTTTGATAATAGACCAACTTAGAAAGGGATGTTCAAAATGTCCAAAAGAATTAAATCAATCCATAACTAAACTGCTCCACATTTTAAAAATCGATTATTTTTAAAATCGATTTCCTATAAAACTGCATTTTATTTTATAAACTAGTTATTTACCAAACCATAAAAACAATTGGTTATCCATAACCAAAATGCTTTAAAATTAAAAAATAAATAAGTATTATTTTTTATAATGCCTATTATATTAGTCAATTGACTCAAACATCCAAACAATAAACTAGTAAAAAAGTTAAGCAGCTCAAGTAGAAAACATTTATTTAAAAAAAATTACACATAAATCGAAATGTTGTATCCTAAGAAAGCACTTCTTAAGTAATGTAACAACTCCCCCCCCCCCCCAAAAAAAATCACATACAGACCTCCGGGTAAACTCACAACTTGACAAGACGAAGGCTTTCAAATAACAAAGATGAAGTTAAAAGATCATAACGAAAAGGGCAACAAAATTAATCAATTGGCTTAACGTCTTTAAGATGTTTAAAATGATGAATCAGCGCCGTTAAAAGGACAACTCACAACGAATTTACTTATTTGTTCTATAATTGTAGAACAATTTGGTTATGGATAACCAATTTTTTTTTAGTTTGGTAAATAACAAGTTTATAAAAATAAAATACAGTTTCATATGAAATCGGTTTTTAAAATGTGTAGCAGTTTAGTTATGGATTGGTTTAGTTCTTTTGGACATTTTAAACACCCCTACCTATACCTTCCTCCACCAGTTCAAATGAAACTTTTAGTAACATAAATCTTGAGAGAACAAAAAACAAATTTTTTTTTTATAATTTTAAAATAATTCAACTGTTCTTCTACCAATCACTCTCAAAATAACGTGAAACAATTTCTATAAGAATCATTTCGTCCGAAGAGTTCCAAAATAATGAAGATTCTTGTAAAAAATAGTTGGTTAACTACCTATAATCGGGAGAAACAAATAACTACATATAAAAATAACACAATTCATTAAAAATCGATTTTGAATTTGTTAAAAAATCGATTCTGAACTTGTTAAAAAAATCGATTTTGAACTTGATAACCGATTTATGGTTCATAACCGGTTTTGAATTAAAACCAGTTTAAAACCGGTTATAAACCATAAACCGGTTTAGAAAATTAAAAACTGATTTTGAAAGAAGAAAACAGGTTTGGTTTGAAAACCAAATCGTTTAAAACCGATTCGGTTCGGTTTTTGTTAAAACCAGTTATAAACTACTTTATGCACACCCCTATACTTAGATCATAATGTGACAAATAAATCCAATGAAAACCTGCACGCGAGTGGAAACTTCATTAGACAATACAATTGCAAAAAATTACAACACTAACCTGGAAACAGATTTCATGGTCCATTTGCTAAATAGATTCGATTTTGTCACTTCTTTTTAAGTTTTAACAGATGGAAGGTGCTATTTGTTAAAAGTATAAACGGATCGTTTGCTTCCCTCATATGCGTGGGCAATTTCAAAATGTTTAATTCGCCTCATATGCCTTAAAACGTCAGTGTTAAGTAAGCAAATAAAGGCATTATGGTATATTACGAAGAATTTGTCTTGGGCATATTTTGGATTACAATACTTTTAGACATGCCTGTTGAAGCTTAATCACCCAAGATTATCGTACATATAAAATGATCATAGATCACATCTAGTTCTTTGAGTGGCAAACAAGCAAAACGAAAGTGCAAGTCCGGTTAAGAATATATTCGAGAGAACAAGAACTAACTCTATTTTATATACGTACTATCAAAATAAATGCAATTCGCCACTAGTCCTTTATCCTTTCAGTATATTGTTACTTGTTGGGAGGAGGATATTTGAAAAAAGAAAAAGTTATAGAAATTTATTGTTACACAACTCTTTTTTCTTTTTGACTTGATACAAAATGATGGAGATGATCCCTATTTATACTAATGGCACCTCCACAAAACAATAGCTCCAAATAATTCTAGAGTTTTCTATATTAGTCTAGTACAAATATTAATTGTGGTAGGTGCAACTACCCTTATTAATAATGGTAGGTGCAACTACCCTCTAGAACTTTCATGGAATTGACTAGAATAGAAATTTCTAGATCTCGAGCTAAACTAACTCCTAAAGTATAATTCTAGATGTTGAGCTAAATGTATACTAAGCCCATGAATCAAAAAACTAAATCAAGTTTATTTATTCCACGTTACTTTGCTTATCTAGATATCCAAATGTGACAGCAAAAAAATTAAAGTGACAACAGAATCAACTTTAGTTTATATTCATGGCTTCTCACTTTATGGCAGCTAACTACTTATATTGCACTCCATTGCACTTCTCTCAGCTCAACTTGCGAGATTTGAACCTCTGTTTTGGCTTAGGTGTCAAATGCAATGGATTCAAGAGCTTATATCCTTAGAATCAACATTGCAATTCTTTGCATCTTAGTGACAACTTCCACTCTTTTCCCTGCTGTGTGTGGTAAAGCATATTAATACAAACACTCATCTACCAAAAATTTCCCTTCTTTGTGAAATTTTAACTTGGTTTTGTTAATTTGCAGATGCTAAAAATCATGGAAGAGGTATAGAAGGTAACAAAATTCTTAGAATCTCCTCCACCAAATCATGGAAGAAGCTAAAATCTTTGAACCGTTTAAACTATTACTCATCAATTAGGTACTTAAATTTTGACTCATATGGCTCTCCTTCTGCTCAACCTCTACCACCTTTCAATTCACTAGCACCACAACCTACATTAACACCTCCAAATACACCAGCATCAGGTAGCAACCCTTCTCTCCCTTCATATTCCCCTATTCCAAACCCACCCCATAATGTCTTTGTGCCACCAAGTCCTAGCAACATTGTTCATTCACCACCTCCACCACCTTATGGTCCAAGCCCACCAAAGCATGCACCAAACCCACCTAAGAGTGTTCCAAGTCCACCATTAGTGTACCTACCACCTATTGTCTACCCACCACCACCCTCATCTTCTCCACACCATAAAAAGCCTCAATATGCCCTTTGGTGTGTGGCAAAGCCTACAGTTCCTGATCCAATAATTCAGGAGGCCATGGACTATGCATGTGGGTCTGGTGCAGATTGCAAATCCATTCAGCCTTATGGGTCTTGCTTTCAACCCAACACTTTGTTGGCCCATGCTTCTTATGCCTTTAATAGCTACTGGCAGAACACTAAGATTGGTGGTGGCACTTGTGATTTTGGTGGGACTGCCATGCTTGTCACTGTTGATCCAAGTAAGTGTCTGTGTCGCTTCACTTCCATCACCTTTACCTTTGTGAAGTGCATCTGTGACTCTGTGGCGCGCTAAAAAGAGAAATCATACTTGATTACATTGTTATTAATTTATTGATAACGAGTACAATATTAAATCAGGTATGTTATTTTTGAGAGTGGATCTTTCGTGTTTGAAGTTTACATAATTTGATTATATGAAATTTTTATATTAATATCTTTTTTTACATACATTAAATATACGAAGAGATAAATACAAAATTTTTATATGACCCTCTTATATGTAATTTTTACATAAGAGATCCATTCAAAAAGAATATAAAACTTTATATTTTATTTTTTATTATTAATTTATTTATATTTAATAGCTCACATAATTAAAAAAATTAATAACATTTAATATAATTAGAATCAACAGGTAAGTACAGAATATAATTTATACTAGCTAGGTAAATCATACTAAATATTATAACAACGATAACTAATAATACGGTAACATAAAAATTAATTGATTTGTCTGCGTCTATTTTTTTTTTTAATAAGATTTCTTAGTCATCATTCTAACCATGGGATCTTTTTATGTCCTAACAAAATCTAATTTTTTTTTTAAAAAAACTATTTATTAGGCACATCACAAGTGATATGGGTACAGGAAATTACAATAAAAGTTTTAGATTTCATTTTAAAATGAATTATAACTTCTTTATTTAATATTTCATAGTTTTCATATTTTTGGTGTTATTTCATTTCTAGTAAATATTTTTAAAAATCAAAAGTAACTAAATTTTTTGTTGTTGAGAAACTCAATATAGAAATTACAGTTTAATTAAAGGTGAAGGAAGATAAATTAAGCGGAAAAAAGTTTATAATTATCGATAATATTTTTATAATTTTGAAATAATAAATTTTAATAAATATAATTGTGGTGACAAAATTACGGACTACCTTTCCATGTTACATAATTACATTGTCATATTTCATGTCGTATATCACCATGAAAAGACGTTTCACTTGTTTTCAGTACATATTTCACTGTCACATCTTGTCGTCTTATGACTATCGTGCCTCCAATGTTGAATCTATGGGCTATTGCTATGCATTGACTTTTTATCAAATCAACGATTTCTTTTCTTTTTTTCAGGCTATGATGAATGTAACTTTATGTTGACATAGCTCACTCCTTGCAGTAATACCCCTTATTTGGAGACTTGCTAAATATTAGAAATCTCTCTCGTTTCAAGATGAATTTTTTATGTAATAATAATTCCATTGCTGAGTGAAGTTATTGCAGTTACCATGTTGTCCTCTTTCCATTTCTATTTAGGAATATTGTTCCTGTCCTACTTGGAAGTTGGAAGTATCCCATCTTTTTGCGTCAGTAGTTTTTTAAGTAGAGGGTATAGTATCATTTTTTTTTAAAATTACAAATTGAATAATAGAAGTATGAAACTTTTTTTTTTTTTGGAATTAGTCTGTAACTTTTATTATTCGATCTGTAATATTTAACATTAAATTTGTAATTTTTAAAAAACTAATCAGATAAGAAAAAGGAATGAAGTGGACTCCACCATTTTTATAATGTCTATTTAGTAAAAAAAACATTGATTTATCTCTTTAAAGGAAATGAAACGAACGCAATCCTCGAAAGGCAATCAACCTTGCCTAATCCACTACGATGTATAATTTTTTTTAATTATAGTAATAAGAATAAAAAAGAAAAGAAAACAAATGAGCTCTACCCAAAACTAAGGGCATGTTTGATTACTGTTTTTAAAAACAGCTTTTGGTTTTCAGAACAAAAAACAAAAATATCCATTTGGTCAAGTTTGTTTTGTAAAATATTAAAAATTGTAACTGTTTTTTGTTTTGTTTTTAGAATCAAATTTAGAGAACATGTCTAGATTGTTTTTATTTTTTGTTTTAATTTTTAATTTTCAAAAAATATATATAGAAAAAACCTATTTTTATAACTATTTTACAAAACAGTTTTACAAAAAAAAAAATCAGAACACAATCAAACAGGTTCTAAGTCCACAATTATTAGAGGTTGAAGGTTAGCTCCATATAAGAGTCTATAATTATTTACAGTTTAAGGTTATATAACGCTAAAGAAAGGAAATATGGAAAGAAAATCTAAAAACACAGAAAATGGAGAAAGATAATTAATTATAACTAATGATGTTAATTTTGTTAAGGGTGTATATGATTATGATTATGTCATCTGACACTTACTAAATAATATTTTTAATAAATAATATATATTTAATTTAGATAACACATTATATGATGGGCTATGTTGCGACTTCGGCAAGTGCACTGGTCGTAAAAGTAATAAAAGTGTATTGAGTACAAGATCGTTCTCACGATGATTGGTTTTCAAGCATTAGTTCGCTAACAACGATTTAATTGGACAACCAAGATAGAGACGAAGACAATTGAAATTAAAAATTAGTAATAGCATTCAATTTCAGAATTAAAAGCATGAAAGTAAAAAGATAAAGTTTTGAAAATCAAGAAAGAGCGTAGTTAGGGTTTCAACTTCCCCCAATATTCTCTTTATGTTATGTGATGAGTCTTCAATTTACTATGTATTAACGGTCAATATGACATGAAATTGATTTAAAAGTAATTAAAATTTATGAGAATTATAATTAAATTGTTATTTTATTTTCAATAATATTCTCATAAGATTTCTTATATTTTGCAGTAAGTTTCAGCTCAATAAAGAGATAAATTGGAGAGATCAAGTAGAGTTGCTTTGGATTTCTGAATCATTCAAGATCTTATCAAATTTTCATTTGAATATTTTTAAGGAAGCTTCCATTAAATAAAAAAAAGGAAGATTTGAAGGATTGGATCAAAGATATGATAGGAGATTCTAGTGAAGATTCCATTGAAGATATTATGAAAAATTAAAAGATATAGTTTTATCCCTATAAAAAGACTTCTTTTGGAAACACAAATTCACAATTCGCCAGAGGCTAGCAGATTGAGAGGAAGGAGGAGAATACCGGATACCAGACTTGGAGATTTCAGGAAGAGAGGAGCCTGAAGGAGACTGAGCACTATTGATTATTTCTCTTCATCTTCTTCTTTTATTTTCTTGTTATGAATTCCTTTTATTATTTTGAATTGTTCAAGTCAGATATGTCTGGCTAATTTTCTTTTGTAGTTAGGGTCATGGATCTGATGTGAACTGTAACACCCTGTTGTACACCGGTATTGTTAACATTAATTATGATATTAAGCGCAGTTACAATCACACCAATTAATTTATAAAAACACGAATAACTTTTTTCGTTTATTACGCGAGGATTTAAAACCGTAAACAACGTAATAAATAAAAGCTGTGATCGTAACTGTAACTCTTGCGGAATACTTATTTAAACTATTTTTATATCTTATTTTACTTAATATAAGACGCTAAGGGGTTTCCATAAACCCACTTAGCCAATTACTCAATCTTATGTTTTCTACCTATCCGAACATAGTTCGGTAATTATTTTTCTGCGAGCACACCGCATGAAACCAGTCCTTCATCTTTAGCTATCTTTTTTTTATACTTAAATATCTTTCCAATGAGCCATCACACGAGTCATTTTGATCTCGTTTGCTCCGGATATCGCCGTTTGAAGCTGGACAAGAAAAACTGCCAACCAACTCCAAAACAGCTCCAAACATCCTTCACTCCACGAATTACTGCAGAAAAATGCTCACTCAAATTCTCTCAAATTTTTATAGTATAAACTAGACACCTCAAGCTTCAATTTGACATATCATACACTTAATTTGACCGAGAAACGAAGCGGAAATAAAATTCTCAAAAACTGCCAGAAACAGCCCCTGCACAGGTGCGTTCTGGACAGTCCGTGTTCACAGGTTTCTACAGAGCTGCGTGCAATCTAGAAATTTCTCAAATTTTAACACAATGTAGGGGAAATATCAAGCTTTAAAATGGTGTATGGAATGTCCCTATCGGACCTCTGCGGAAGGATATATGCTCTCCCGAAGTTCGCCTAAATTCAGCCAATTCTACAGAAAATTCGCCAGAGTTTCCTTTGTTTTTACAAAAATCCCCAATTTGCAAATGTGATCTAAGGCCTCAAATGTACCTAATAACCAATGGGTGGCATACACAAGGACCAACAATGCCTTGGGGCACTTACAACCTAACTCAGTTTATAGTTATTACACAATTTATATCATACTGCTCACTTGATTAATACTTAATACGTTTCAATCATCCAAGTCCATTTACATGCATTTTTTAGGCATTCACATATCCATAATCCTAAAATATACCTAAAGCCCTTCCATCATATTATGTTAAGTATCCAAGTGCAATTACAACATATTACAACTTACGATTCCCTGACTTTAAATTACAACTTGAAACATGAACTTTAATTTACAACTTGAAACATGAACTTCAAATGACATATACAACTAACTAGACTTAGGCAAAATGACATGAACAAATATGACTATGAAACTCATCCTACATACATATGGAATGTTCACGCCCTAAGTCTAGCCTAGGTCAAATGGCCATCAAAATGCAAAAAGTGCAAGTCCTCCAATGACTCATCCTACGGGGGAACAAGTTTGGTGAAGGAGATTTGGTGAGGTTTTGGAGATGAAATCTTAGAGAGAAGTGAGAGCAAAGTTTGAAATTTAAATTTTAGAGAGAGAAGTGAGAAGGGGGGCTAGAATTCTTATCAGAAAAGTGAGGGGAAGGTGCCTTAATTAGGGTTGCCATGTCACTTAAGTGGCCCTTGTCCTTTAGTAAGACCCGGTGTAAATTTTATCTGAACCATTGTCAAATTTTTATCCGGAAACACCCAAGACTCTAACTTTAAGTAATAAACATTAACTTTGTCTAATTATCATGTTCATAACTTAAAAATTTGATTAGTAGATCACATATCCACTAACAGTTGTTTAATTGCACTGTAGTCTTTACCGGTGTTCTTAACTGTACCCGAATTTCATAATCTTCTTAACTCTAACATTATTGGTATAATTATGACTTGTTAGGAATATATTGGTCTTCATTTCCATTTTCTCATCTTTTTCCTGTTCCGGAATTCTACCGGTTGCTTCTACAACAGTACAAAATACCCGACATAAGTGACTTTTCCAAAATACCACAATATGGTATCAATCTTCATCAAATCATATACTAACCTCATTCATGATATTTATATCATTATATTAGCTCTCTAACTATAATTTGCTAACTTAGAGCTATTCTACTGACTGTTACTGCGTCAACAGTCAAAAATAATAGATGAAAATTCACCAATGTAACATATCCTCAATATGGATATCAAAATTCTTAGAATTTCATCCTCATTCCATTTATGACCATAAGGTCCTCATCATAACCCTATAATTTAAAAGTCATATAATTAGAGTTATTATAATTTTCATCTTTGAAAGAATAATGTGACCGACGTTATAGCTTTCAGGAATTAGATTAACGGTTTATTTTTTTTAAATTAAAAATGATCATGTGTTTGTATCTTACACAACTCCTATCAGCCTCATAATTTTTTTACCTCGATCTCTTACTTTATTTTTATTTACCAATATTAATAGTTTGCAGTCTCTTATGTAAATAATACGAGTTACACATGATGTATAAATAACATTATTTTTCCCTTATTTATGTATACGAGAGTATGGAGATCATCTTCTGTACATCTGTAGTAGATACATCTATAATTCAACAAGTGACACTTCGATAATTTTTTTTTTCTTTTTTTGTACAAACAAACATAACAGTCCTTCCTCAATTTTTTATTGGATAGATGCATTAAATAAACGATACAGTAGTAATATTATAAATATTTCCCAGAGTAACGAGGATGCAGTTTAGCGATTCTCCACCTTCGAAGTTCGAACCATACTCGCGTGTCATTAGTAATTTCATAGTGGGGTCCTTGTCCCTTTATTGTACCAAAAAAAAAAAAAGTAAGTTCATAGTGTGTGGCTTTTCGCCGCTTATTCTCAAGGCATGACTGTAATCGTTGGTTTGGTTCTGCACTTTTGGACCCGTAATTGTATCCCGAAATGGTAGTATGCAAGTTACATAAAAAGTTTACTGGAATTAATAGAAAATAGTTGCAGTGATTTAAAGTGATGGAATCATGCTACTAGCTAGTGTAAATTTCCATCTTGTGACCTTCCAAAATTGTTTTTATTTTTAATTTTTAAAACATATGTAGTAAAATATATTAAATGTTACGAATCTTGAGTTTACCGTC